GGTTCCATTATCCTCTCTTGTCCTCCATCCCTTCTTTAGATCTCTGCTTCCTCTCACATTTTCCTAGTCTTACTTCACATTATATATATGTATACAAATATAAATATATTTTAAATCTAGATTTCACATATGCTGAGAAAATATAATATTTATCATTCTAAGTCTGGCTTCTGTCACTTAACATGATAATCTTATTCTATTCACTTTAAGGCAGATGGCACGATTTAATTTTTTTAGAGTGGAATAAAATCTCATTATGCATATACAACACATTTTCTTTATCTGTTCATCTTGTTGATAGACACCTAAGCATGCTCTGCACGTTGGCTCTTACGAATAGCATTTCAATAAACATGGATGATCAAACATTTCTGCAGGATGTTGATGCAGATTCTCTTGGGCAGATACTTAAGATTATACTTAGTTCTGTTTTTACTAGTCTGAGGAAGCTCTATACTAATTTTTATAGTGACTGAACAGGTTTACCTTCCTACCTGCACTAGGAATGTAAACATCTTTGCCAGCATTTCAACAAAATATCTGTTATTCCAGGATGTTGACACTTAAAATTCAAACAGTCTGTGTCCACATTGTAAGTAGTATTTTGAAATGACTGACTAATCAAAGTTGTTACGACTCTGCTGCCATTAGCTCAGCGGAGAGTTGCGATCAGATGTGTGTGCACACACACCGTCTGCAGGACTGAAGGACAGCTCTAGAAGGAACAGAAACATTCTCTGATATCCACACAGGACATTCAACTTCATTAGATAGTCTCTTCCTCCTGCCTTGGTTTCCTTTCTAGTTACTGTGGCAAAATCCCCTGAGAGAGAAAGCGTTTGCTTGGCTCACAGCTCCAGGTCCCAGTCCACCCTGGCAGGAAAGTCACAGTTGTTCACACTACATGCACAATCAGAAGAGTGACTCAGAGCACATGTGCTGAGCTCTGCTCAGCGTTCTCCTTTGCACTCAAGCCAGGGCTGAGCCCACTCAGTGGTGCCACCCACCTTCAGAAAGGTCCTCCCAGCTCACAGGCAGCCTCCAGCCAACCTAAGCCAGCCAATTCCTAGTTGAGCCTCCTTCCCAGGCAATTCTGCACAGTGTTCAATTATTTCTGATGTTTAAATTCCTCTAGCTTCCTAACACTGTGACCTTTTAATACAGTTCCTCATGTTGTGGTGAGCCCCCCAACCATAAAATTATTTTCGTTGCTACTTCATAACTATAATTTTGCTACTGTTATGAATCACATGTAAATGTCTGATATGCAGGATATCTGATATGTGACCCCTGTGAAAAGGGCATTCAACCCTCCAAAGAGGACACGGCCCACAGGTTGAGGACCAGTGCTCTAAAAGATAACTCAGAACTATGCCATGGCATTACACACTGTGACAAGACAACTCAGTGCATATGTTAGGATTTTCTTGCATGTACTCATTTCCTAAAAAGAAACTACATGTAACATAGGAAATACAAAGACAGACAGCAACATGAAATTCAAAGGCTTCTCAAAACTGCTATGGCATAGGATATCTGAAATAAAGATTCGGAATTTTGCTAAAGGGTTTGGCAGTGTCACTGTTTTATTTTACACAAATCAATCTACTCACAAGGAGGAAAAAGCCCTGTGGAAAGAGGGACAGAGCACTGGAACCAAAATATTGGCTCATGCGAGCAATCACGATGAAATTCTGATAAAACTCCAAACACAGTGCCAGCTGCCTCTCTCTCAGGTGACGTCTCCCAAACCCGCGTCAGCAGAGCAGTGGTAGCTGTGGGCTGCCAGGACATTCAAAGACCCTGAGAGATGCTGGACTTCACAGAGAAATCCTTTATAGCTGAGTATGCAGTCTCAAATTATTCCACGGTACATTAAACAGGGCAATTTCAAGAAGGAAAGCCTCATCAAACATTGTGTAAGTACAGACAACCATTTCCATCTCTACAGTATATTTCTGTTCTGAACTCCCTACAGCCCTGTTGTGCCAGAACCAAATATTTAAGAGTGATGTTAAGAACTGGACTTAATTCTTAATGGTATAGACAGAGTAGGGCAAGAAGTATTAAAATTCCTTCAAGTAATTTTTAGAAGAACAACCCTGTTCTAACGGTATCCTCCAGAGAGAAAAGAATTCTCAGGTTTTCTTGTGATAAGGAAACGAGATTTACATGGGACAGATAATTTAAAAAGCCAGTCTCTCTTCTTCATACTAACACAGAAAGATATACTAGGTTCCTGGCAAGCTCACAGGCACAGTAAAGAAAGCCCTCGTGGTCACTGCCTGTTCTAATGCCACCATACTAGTGCTGTCAATAACAGTTCTTTCAAAAATTAATTTACATTTACTTATTTATTTGGTGTGTGTGAGTGTGAGTGTGTGTGTGAAGTGAGTACGCAAGAGCATATGACCATGGTACGGTGTGGAGAACAGAGCACAACTACCGAGAGGAAGTTGGTTTTTCCTTCTACCAAATGGGTGCTAGGCACCTAACTGCAGCTCCCGGCCTGGCCGCCCAGCGCCCTCCCCAGCAAAGCCTTCTTGCCAACCCAATAACAATTACTAAAAAGAACCTTGGGGAAATGGAAAAACTGGTATAGGTCAATAACTAATGGCTACATTTAATACTTTTCACTCGTTAAAATTTAATATAATTTACAAAAACAGAATTTAAATAATTTCTTAAGATGCTTTTTTTTCTTTCCTTTTTTTTTTTTTTCCTAATATCTAAGAAAGGAGCCTGAGAGACAGGCCCACCGCAACCATCAAAGCGTCAAGCATTCTGCTTTGGCAAGAGCTCCTTATGTGTTTTGTCCTTTTTAGAACCTTAAAACCTGTGCCCAGTTCAAGAAACCACTGAATGTGGACTGAATGTGGACGAGGCATCGTGCTGTTGGACTGGCTCACATCAACACTTGAATCTGTGATTTTTTTTTTTTTTTTTTCGGATAAGATGCCAACAATGTAGCTAATCTTTTCGGTTAAACAATGCTTTTAGATGTGCTTTAAGAGCTAAAAGGAGCATCTAAAAATTATTTCAAGTGCTGAGGCCATTAGTAGACTAACACATTTGTCAACAATATAATTAAATATTTCTAAGTCATCTCAAAGTCACATAGTCGGAGATTTTTTTTTGTTTTGTTTTCAAAGCATCGTGCTTGTTATTGATATGCTATCTAACAGATAATACATTCTGGATTTTTCTTTGTTTATTAACAAGCCCTTGTAATTAACTTGCTTTTAAATCATAAGTATGATACTATTTTAATTTCCCTCACACTCTCTACCCTATCATTTGAAATCACATTAAGCTGACTCGTGGAAGGCCACCTGGTGTAATACTATGACATTGAAGTGAGCTGCTCTGGTATGCAGGAAATACTGACAGTCTTCTATGCTAAAATCCATTTCTCCAACTGATGACAGAACTAGGGGAAATTAATTTTTGCTATTCATAAATAGCTGACAGGTTTAATGTAAATGTTTTGAAAAAGCCCCGAGCCTATGCCGCACATACATTACACATGCCGCACTGCACTGGAATTTCCAGGGTAAAGCCCATTCCATTTCTACATCACTACGACTCAGAACTGTTGAAATTTCTCAAATTACTCCCAGATTGCAATTTTCAACATGCACATGTAAATAACAACAGAAGTCCCCATGAAACCTTTCAGTTGCTGGAAAAGAATCAGCAATTTGACACTTAGGATAAATTTCTTTGATAAGAATCCTGTGAAAATGCTGGTAACCCTGACAAATCACAGTGGGCCAACCAGCTGGCTCCTGGGGTCAGAGCTGAAGAATTTACCCCAAGGAGGTAGTTTGGAACACCCAGAAAGCTGCTGCAGAATGGCTGCCCCCTTGGCCCAGCACAAATAACTGGGTTCCTTTCAGAGGTGAGCATGACTTCATTCTTAGGGCAGCATTCACTGTCTCAGAGATACACATGAACACATTTGTCAAGTGAATATGGTAAACAAATCTCCTGCCCAGGCCCAACCTAGTCTATACAGTAGATATATTAAAAAACATGGGGAAGCTTTCATTTAAATCAATTCTATAATGAAGCCATTTGTTACAGGGTCACCAGGAACTGATTCAACTTGTAAATTTTTATTCATTTTTCAAGTATTAGCATTAATTGAAACAGAGAATATAGAGGACAACTCTTTGGGTTTATAATGATACTGAAATATACAAACCAAATGCAACCTGGGTCATCTCTCTTGAAGAAGCCAGGGAACCAATTTATTATTCTAAAAACTGGTAGATAAAGGAAAGAAGTTAGGCTTTTAGTCAAACAGCGCCTCAATTATTGTCCTTATAAAAATATTTGAGCTAATAAGAGAAGATGAATGTATCAGGGCATCACTGCTTTGCAAACCCTCACAAAAAGGCACTCAGATACTTGGTGGAAATAAAAATGGAGAGTGCCGCCAAAGAAACACGTGGGACTCAAAGCAAGCTTCCTGTCTCACTCCCCAGGAGGAAAAGGGCATGGACAACACTAGCCAAGCAGTAGGCAAATTCCGAGTGTGAAAAGCTACAGTCTCTTCAAATGATAAGCAAGAGAGGCCAGGGGCTAGCTCAGTAGATAAGGTGCTTGCCATGCAAGCATTAGGAACAGAGCTCAATTCCCACCACCACATGAAAGCCAGATGTGTGGGTTCCCACTAGACACTCCAGCTCTGGAGACACAGTGACAGGCAGCTCCCTGGGGCTCTTTGGTCAGCCAGCATAGCCTAATCAGGGTGTCCCAGTGACAGACTCTGTCTCAAAAACTCAGGTGGACAGCTCCGGAGGGACAACACCCAAGGCTGACCTCTGGCCTCCACAGGCATGCACACGTACCCTCACATATACACAAACACACAGAGGTGAAAAAGAGAAGTAGAAAACAAGACAGGTATGCCATCAGACCCTGGGGAGATGGCTCAGAGGATAAAGCACTTGCAAGAGTGCAGACCCCCAGAGCCCACAGAGAAGGATGAGTTTGACCCCTGGCAATAGGCAAAGAGACACCTTGTTGGTGGTGGTGTTCTTATATCTGTCAGGGGCAGAGCAGATGGCAGTCCTTTGTTCATCTTAGTTTGATGCCTGGCTTGATAGCCAAAGCTGTTTTATGCCTAGGACTCATAAAAATCAAATCAAGTGAAATCAAATCCAGGCAGCGCAGCACAGAAGGAGGAAGACCGACAGAGGTCTGAGGACCACCATGGTCTGAGGACCACCATGCCACCCACAGACCTTCCCTTCAGTGCACAGCACAGGCAGGCCATGGACATGCTTCCAACACGCCACGCAGTATGGATGGAGGATGTCATCCAGGGGCCTCGGTGGTCAGCCTGCAGCTACAGCCACCACAGTGTGCGAGTATGTGGTGGTCAGATTAAGAGAAGTGGCGCAGCTTGAGCGTTATGAAGAGAGATGGAACAGGGGACTCAAGGGTACAGAGCAGTAGCCTGCTGTGAGTGGCCAGCCCTGCTGCCTGGAACCATGGTGAGGTTCCAGCCTGAGCTGCTGCTGAGGCCTATATCTGAGTCCTTGGCTGCGCAGTGGCAGGAGTCAGTGTGGATGTCTGTGGCTCATCTTGCCAATAGAGAACATGGGGATGTCGCTGGTTGGTTCAGCCTCCTGGGACCACCTGGATGTCCAGGAGCTGTGCAGAACTGGCCCCGCCTATCACTGGATGCAGTGCTCAAGAGAGCTGGCCCCATTCCTCACCACTGGCGGCACTTGGGAGAGTAAGCCCTGTGCCTCCCCCTGGTAGCACAGTGGAGCAAGCTTGATGTGGGGTGGTGAGCCTCCCCAGGAGTATAAGGGTCAGACCTGTCACTTGTCTGTCACTTGTCTGCTGTGGGGTGGCACAGGCACAGAGGTGATGCCCCCACTTCTCCAGAGAGCTGATCCCCAGGATCATGATAGCAGAAGAGCTGACCCAGCGCCTTGACTGGGCAGCACAGTGGAGCTAGGACTGGAGGTATGGATATGGGTGAGTCGCACAGAGGGGGTAAGAGAAGGAGAGATGGTCCTGCCTCCTGCTGCTGGTGGCACTGGGTGCTCTAGCCAAAGCAGTAGCCCTGGTGGTGTGGATGAAGGAGAGCCAGTGGGCTGCAACCAGCTCTGCAACCACCCAGGCCCAGGTCCAGGGCTCTGACCTGGCCCACCTCAAAATCTGTATCTTCTGTGAATAGTTGGGACGCGTGAAAGGGCCAGTCCTGCTGATCCGAAGCTGCAGGGTCTCCATGACGCAGGGCAACAATGGGATAACTGGGAGGAGTCCCTGTGAGGATCCAATACTGATGGTGTCACAGAAGCCAGAGATCTCGAACCACACCCATGACTCATTGCAATGGATATTTACAAGTGAAGATGTGTGGACGGAGGGATACACTGTGGGACACACTGTAACACACCACAGCTTCCAGGATGAGATGCTTTCTATGCTTTCTTTTAAAATTGCTGTTATTGTTTGTTTGTGTGTATGTTTTTTATTTTGTGGGGGAGGTTGCAAGGGCCAAGGGTAGATATTAGAGAACAGAAAGATGAGCAGGACTGGGTGTGTGTGATGTGAAACTCATAAAAGAATCTATCAAAAACAAAACCAAACAAAAACAATGAGCAGGTGTGGCAGCTGCCTGTAATCCCAGCAAGTGAGGAGCTTTTCAAAAATTTGTAATATGCAAACTGCTAGCCATAAAATAAGGACTGCAGAAATTCGGTTTTCTTGTTAAGTTAGAAAATTTGCTACCTGGCTCCTTACAAATTGGGAAATAAACATTTGTAGTGTGAGAGAGAAAAGAATTAAAATACTTATATGTGGCCATTCAACAATAAAGTATGGACAAGCTGAGTGACGAAAACAAGAGTTCCCACAGAGGCCTGAAGTAGATGTTAGCACCAGTAATCTGTAATCTCTTTCCATATAACGTTTTAAATTCTACAGTTTTGGAAGGATTAGACTGGATGAATAAATAAAGCACAATTTTCAGACATGGTAGCTCTTCTCTGAGATACCATAATGATGGACACTCAGAGAATTGAGAGTATGGCGGGTGAACCTGAGGTAAGCTATGGTGTCAACATGGGTTCACGGATTGGATAAATAATAAAATTGAAGCATGTCGATCAGATGCGGCAGGGACAACCAAGAATGTCATAGCTTGTGCTCAGTTTTGCTGGGAACCTAAAATGATTCCTTTAAAAGGGGCCATTAAGAAGCCATCTTAAGCTGGGCGGTGGTGGCGCATGCCTTTAATCCTAGGATTTGGGAGGCAAAGCCTGGCAGATCCCTTTGAGTTCAAGGCCATGCTGGTCTACAAATCAAGTCCAGGACAGCCAGGGTCCTGTTACACAGAGAAACCGTATCTTGAAACAAAAACAAAAAATAAATAGGTAAGAAAATGAATAAATTCCTGTTAACTTTTACCAAGGCACGCTGCTTTCTGTGCTGCACTACCCTGGTCCTCACTACCCTGGTCCTCCCACTTCCTGCAAAGTGCTGCCCCCTCCCACGGATGATCAGTTTAAAGTTTCAAATATCAAGTCCAGAACACAATACTTTCCTGATCTACCAGACACTAGCTCACTCCTTATATTGCACCCCAACTACAGGCTCAAACAACACAAAGCAAGAAGAGCATAACCTTCAGAGACAAAAACAACTATTTCTGAAGATCCATTTTACTGTGTTCCTCTATTAGCATGAATGACAGAAAACTGACTCAAAGGAGCTCAAGAAAGTAGAGTCCTTTTATGCTTTTCTAACCTCAGTAATACAGATTCTCTGGCCAGTACACCTCCTTCATTGCATGTCAGCTTCTGAATGATTGCTGTGACACCATAAGAGAATCTTATGTAGGGATGGAGAGATGGCTCAGCGGTTAAGAACACAGCTGTTCTTCCAAAGTTCTGAGTTCAATTCCAGCAAGTACATGGTGGCTCATAATCATCTATAGAGAGATCTGGTGCCCTCTTCTGCTGAGCAGGCACACATGCAGGAAGAATACTGTATAAATAAATAATAAATAAATCTTAAAAAAAAAAAAATCTGTAAAGGTAGCTGTTTCCTCCTTTCAGTGTCCCTGGCTGTGTTTGGGGAATGTGAGAGTGTTCTCATCCTAAATAAAATATTCCCAAACCTTCAGGATTGATCTTGGAAGGAGAAAGGCCTGGATCTAGGAGATAAGGATGAGGATAAAGTTATGAGACCACAAAGACAGTCTGACCTACTCTCAAATTCTATCACCACTTTTGTGGCTTTACAACACCACCCAAATTCTTTGATACTCTTCCAGTCAGGAGATGGCTCTTGAGTCCCTTCCCTTAAATCTGGCTCTTGAGGTCCAACCAGAAAAGGTCAGGCAGCTTGTGTCTGGTCTGCTGGGAATGCTTGCTCTCTAGTTGCCTCCCCTGGCACGCTCCCAATCAGAATTCAGCAGTCTTAGGAAGTAAGCCTTAAGACACACAGAGGGCAGAGCCAGGATAGAAAGCTAGAGAAAATTATGGGCACGTGGAATAGGAGAGAAGGCCCTCACCCCAAAATTCTAGTTGAGGTCTCTTACCAGCTTAGAAGTAAGAAATTAACTTCTGTTGTAAAGACAGATGACATACAATTAATGTTCTTCATATATGTGTGTGTGTGTGTGTGTGTGTGTGTGTGTGTGTGTGTGTATAGTTTTATTCAAAGTAAGACTGAACCAGGGTTAAGGTCTGAATTATATGAACCTTGATAGAGCGACTTCCTTTCTCCAGATAGCTCTAGAGACTCCCAACTGCTATCTTTGTTATGGTAAAGAAAGCCTAGTTTTCCGTAACCCCCTCCCCCATGAGCTACCCTTTTACCTTATTAATTGTCAGATGCCCCTCAGGAACCACTTGATGATCTTATTAAGTTTCTTAGCAATCCTTTGAAGACTGTAATTCACACTCTACCAAAATAAGACATTATAGAAACAGTAAGCTGCCATTCTCCCTTGAGGAGCCTGTACCCATGCTTGAGTACGGTTCACTTTCTGCAGCTCTTCTTTAAGAAGCCAAGATCCATAACTGACTGTGTCTTAACCTTGCTCTGTTTTTTAAATCTTCATGCTTAACAAAATCTCCAACTCACCTTCATAAACTGGCTAGTCCAGAGCTTCTTTTCAGATCAAAGCTACAAATCCATGGCCTGAGACATGGTCTCTGTCATAGTTACCTTTCTGTTGCTGTGACAAAACATCACGACCAAGGCAACTTATAAAAGAAAACATGTAATTTGGGTCTCATAGTTGCAGAGGGTTAGAGTCCATGACCACCATGGCATGGCATGGCATGGCATGGCATGCCATGGCAGCAGGCCAGCATAGTGCTGGAGTAGTAGCTGAGAGCTTACATCTTGATCCATAAGCATGAGGCAAAGAGAGAGACTGGGAAACCTCAAAGCTCACCCCCAGTGACACGCCTCATACAACAAGGCCACACCTCCTAATCCTCCCGAAAATGTTCCACCAGCTAGAAACCAACTATTCAAACATATGAACCAAAAGAGGCCATTCTCATTCAAATCACCAGTATCTAAAAGTCTAGGAAGAGTCCTCAGGTTGCTGAGCGTGACAGTGGGAGACTTGTTTCTCCTTCCACTGCCCCCTCAAAACACTGGCAAGCCCACATGCAGGCACTCTACTCTATAGCCCCAATTCAGCAACTTTTAAGTCATTTCAGTTGAGGCACCAGAGGTATGAACAAAAAGCCATCTTAGAACTGGTTCCTCCAGCTTCAGCTATGTGTTTTCTCCTGGCAGAGGCCCCAGTAATCAATCATTTGGCACTGAACAATCATCCAAGCAGTGCTTGTCTCAAATCCTGGACCTATAGAATTGATGAGCCAAATTCAATCTTTGTGCTTGTAGAGCTCTCTCCTTCGATGTGGTTTGTTGTAACTGCTGCAAACATAACAAGAACAGACATCATTACCAAAAGAGTGAGGCCATGCTAACAAAATCCAAAACACATGGCGCTGGTGTGAAAACAGGACCCAGGAAGCCTACCACAGGGCTTAAGTCAGGACTGTAGGACTGTGGATATAGTTGCCCATAGAGTGCCAGCATGTGTAAGACTCCAAATTCAATCCCCTCCAAGTTCAAGGCCCTTCTGCGGAGG